TCTCTCTCTCTCTCTTTCTTTCCCTCTCTCTCTCTCTCTTTCTTTCCCTCTCTCTCTCTCTCTTTCTTTCCCTCTCTCTCTCTCTTTCTTTCCCTCTCTCTCTCTCTCACTCACACATGTTGTACTTCTCAAAACTTCCCTCAACTTTCACGAAACCAAGCTACAAGGATACAAGAATATGTGATTGCTTCATCTATTTTTCGGATGTGTTATACATATATGCATGCATGCATGCATACAAATGTTTGCATGTATACAAATGCATATATGCATACACATATGCATATGCATACATATATGCATATGCATACACATATGCAAATATATGCATGTATGAATATGTATGTAAGTGCGTGGCAGTAAAAATTACTCTTTACAACAGACTCGAGAAAAGATGAAACATTTCAAAATCCCCTGGATTTTATTTCACTGCAATAAGTGTTAAAAGTCCCTCCATTCTACTGAAAATAAATAAACAGACTTGGCATTAATTTGTGCAAAATCTATGTCTATGTATTTGTTTGCCTACTGACATTTATTTTACAGATGTTTATTCATTTTATAGATATTTATTCATAGATATTTGTTATTTTCTTGGTGGTTGAAGTTCTAAATTTACTTGCTGTTCAACATTGATAAAAAATATATATATCTAATATCATATGTATTTTGGATTTAATTGTAAACATACACAAATGCACTTGTAAATTATCAGTAATATACCTTCATATCCACACTTTTGGAGATGTTTTTTATTGAAAGGGAAAAAAGCAACACACAAAAGGAAATAATGAAAAAAATTGATAAATGAAAATGCAAGAAAAAATATATAATTAAATACTGAAAGGGTGAACGAAGCCAACACCAAAACAGAACGACCAAAAATCATCAGAGAAAAAGGACAATAATTGTAACATTCAAGATTCTCATAAAAAAGTTACTTTTCTGGTGAAGTCATGGGGATGTTTCAGAGGGTATGATGAATCTAATTCAAAGGAGAGAGAGATAAGTGAGGTACACTTTTATTAAAAATATTTAATCTCTATAATATATACAAATATAAATAGGCTTCCATTCATTACTTAAAGTGATGAATAAAAGTAAATGTTGAACGGAAGAAAAAATCATCCATACTTTATTAAGCTAATTAATACAAAGTAACCGAGAATAGCAATGATGATGACAATGACAATGGCAGTTGAGGTCTATATAAACTGTACTCAAATGAGTATGTTTTAATGAAGATGAATACGATGCATTAATTTATATATAAAACATGATGCAGCCTAATATAATGTGAATTTAGCATAATTAACTATTCTAACATCTTGTTTTAAATCATACATTACAAATGACTTATCATTCTTTGGAAATGAATCATTACGGAATGAATACTCCCTTCACTGATGTGACGATCTCACTGCCGCCAGTATGACATATGAGATCCAAGACAGTTTTTTGATGTGAAGAATTTATCATCCAAAAAGATCAAAATTGCATAATGCAGAATTTGAGTTTTTTCTTCCTGGATTCATACGGTTTCTGAGAGATATTAATGGACTTGCGAGGCTTTCCAAGATATTCTGTCTTCTCGTAAATAATAGTACTTGGATTTTTTTTTTTTTTTTCTGAAAATCTTTTAGGTGTGTATAGGATGACAGAAATTGTGATCACACCTATAAAGAAAAAGAAAAAAAAAAGAATGCATTAACAGTCTCCATGACTATCTGAATTATACACCATGGTGCAAGTCGCTGAAATTTGTGAAAACAAGGTACCTTATTTAACAACCTATTACACTGGGCTAATACACCCCTAAATGCTAAATCCAATGAGACTTAAATAGAGGCAAGCAGTGTGTTATTCCTCCTGCGTCGCTCCATCCACCAGTTATTCAACTCGTGCATTCCCAAACGGAGGAGAAGCTGCAACAGGATCCAAAGAATTAGCATTGATATAATCCTCCATCTTTTTCAATTCATCATCAGCCAGACAATTACACCCATTAAATGAAACAGATACATCCACTTACTATGAGAGCAAAGAGATCGGAGAACATGAGCATGTAGAAGACGTTGTCCCAGCCTGCTGCCGAGATCGGACCAGCAATCATTGGTCCAACAGCAGCACCTAATGAAGAGTAGATGCTGATTAATTCTATGATGCTCTTTCAAAAGTAATGATATTTAAAAAGATTTACTTATTTAAATATCATTACAGCCCATATTTCTTGCATTTTGTGCTCCTATTGTCTAGAAAGAAAAGAAAAGAAAAAAAAAACACAAAAAAAAGTACATGTCTCAATCAAGAAGTATGTTAACCTCAACACTTACAAAGGATTTATAATGTATAATTATGCAGGACATGACATGTATAACTCAACAAAACTTAACCCAGAGCCGATGGGTAAAAATATTTGGCAAGTGGACGTAATAATGGGATTGTTTACTCCCAGCTCATTCGGTAGTTTGCAAGCAACATTTAGCACCTAAAAGCCTTTACTTTGCTATAATTTATAAAAATATTATAATTTTGAAGGTTTACCTTCATTATAGGTGCCATTGCCTGAATTTTTTACCATATATATGAAGCCGCTACTACTGGAGTAAATAAACTCCTTCCAATGGCACGGGAATGGGCATGACACGATCCCATCCGTTTTTCAGTCCACAACAGCCATGGCATGTACGTACATGCCACCCGTCGGCTATGGGTTAAAATATATAACAACACAGGCCTTTTGATGTATAATTACACAAGACTTATAATGTATAACTATGCAGGATTTATAACATATAATTACCTATAGATCCAGTGCCATCAATAATAGCCGTGACAGTAGCTAAGGCCTTTGCATTTCCTTTTAGACATTCATGTGTGCCAAGGTCAGCCGAAACAGCTGTAGTGATTAAAGCGTATGGGCCATTCACAAGAAGTCCAACAACGAGCAGCAGGAATATGTTCAACCCGAGAGAAACTGCACAAAACGCTTGATAGACAAACATCTGGAAGGTTTACAGGAAAATCAGGAATGGTTAATTACAGATTTGATTTCCGAATCACAGACTAGGCAGACTAAAATTTCAAAAAACTCGAAAATGTTAATGAAAGATTCAATTTTTACATCACAGACTAGGAAGATTAAAATAAAAATGAAACTCAGAAATTCTACAATGATATACCAAAAACAGAAAGTACACAGGAAATCCTCCTACCATAGGAATCGCAATAATAAGCATGACAATGCAGGTGGATGCCGACATGCCAGTCTTATCACTCAGGACCCCAGCCAAGATTCCTCCAGCAATACCACCGACGTCGAAAAACGTGGACAAGTTGGCACTCTCCTCTGCGCTGTAGGGTGCTGTTGGAGGAGGGGGTGGGCGATGAGTCTTTAGACGTAGATACCAAGAAGAAAAAGTTTAGGAGAAATAGGAAAACTCTCGAAGGAAGTGGCACATGCACTCGTGTTCATCATGGTCATCTTTCTCTTCGTGATAATGATTATTATCATGGTCATTCACTTCCTCATCATTATCACAGAGATAATGATTGTGATTATGAAAATGATGAAAGTGATGATAATTATCATATGAATATAATAGTAATAATTAATAATAATAGTAATAAAATGATAATGATAATGATAATGATAGTAATAATAACAATAATAGTAATAATAGTAATAATAATAACAACAACAACAATAATATCAATATCAAGACCAATAATAACAACGACAATAAAAGCAATAACCGCAACAATAATATGATAAATGAGCATAAGAGTAAAGGTATGAAAAAGAATACCAAAGAATAGGAAAATAAAGATTCAAAGAATAAAGACTAACAACAAAAGAATAAGGAATAAAGAATCAAATAAAAAGGCAGTAAGAATAATAAATATAAGAAAATCACAATAAAAAATAGAGAATAATAAATAATATTAAAATGAACAAAATAACAATATATATAAGAATATATAAGAATAGAAAATATTAAAGAAAAAAAACAAAGAATAATAACAAAGACTAACATAAGGAATAAAAAATAAATAATAACACAGAATAACAGTAATAAAGATTAGTAAATTACAGCAATAATGAATAAAGAATAACAAAAAAAACAAAGAAATATACTATTAATGAAAAATAAAGAATAAAAATGAATTTCAATAAAGAAAAGAATAATAAAGAACAAAAAAAAAAATAATAATAATGATAAAGAATAATTCAGAATAAACGATCAATAACAAAGAATTAATGGTGAACAAAGAATAAACAACAAAAAATTAATGGTGAACAAAGAATAAACAACAAAAATTTAATGGTGAACAAAGAAAACAAAAAAAATCAAAAATAATACATAATTAAGAAGATTAACGTATAAAGAATAATGACGAATTGATAAAAAAAGGAAATAAAGAGTAATGGGTAAACAAAAAATAATATATACAAATGATAATGCATGTAGAAAAAGAACAAGAGCTAGAACAAGAACAACTGGAAGGAGAAAGAGGAGGATGATAAGGATAATGATAGGAAAAATGATAATAAAAATAAAAATGAAAATAATGAACATAATTATGATAACAATGATGATAAAAAATAAAAAACAACAACAACAACAACAACAACCATAATAATAATGATAATAATAAACTAATTTTTCAAAAATATTCCTAATAATAAAACAATAACATTACTAACAATGATAATATGAACACTAATAACAAAAACAATAACAATAATACCATTAATAACCATAATGATAACAACAAATTCAATAACAATAACAATGGTAACATTAATATTAAAAATTATAACATTAAAAATAAAAACACTATTATTATTACTAAAAATATATAATATATAATATAATATCAATAATAATAATATCATTATTATCTTATCATTAGTGTATTATGATTTCTCTAAGTATTAGTATGATTATGACAATTTGATATATTGATATGTTAATGATAATGATAATAATAATAATAATAATCCTATCTCTATGACAATGCTTATGACAATATGATAATGATAATAGTATAATATATATATTCTCACTCCCCCCTCCCTCCCTCCCTCCCTCCCTCCCTCCNGTTTAATTGCGGCCCTCGATGTAGAGAAGCGCCCGATGTGGCCTGCGTCTCTTGTTTGGTTGTGTGCTTGGGGTTGTTTTTTGTGTTTGTCTGTTGTTGTGTTTGTTTGTGTTTGTGTGCTTTGGGGTGTTTGGTTGTTGCTTGTGTGTTGGGTTGTTTGGTTGTGTGCTTGGGGTTGTTTGTTTGTTTGTTTGTGTGCTTGGGGTTGTTTGTTTATGCGCTTGTGTGTTGTGTTTGTTTGTTTGTGTGCTTGTGTGTTGTGTGTGTTTCTTTGTGTGCTTACGTGCTTGGGGTTGTTTGGTTGTGTGCTTGTGTGTTGGGGTTGTTTGGTTGTTGGGGTTGTTTGTTTATGTGCTTGTGTGTTGTGTTTGTTTGGTTGTGTGCTTGGGGTTGTTTGTTTGTGTGCTTGAGTGTTGTGTGTGTTTCTTGTGTGCTTACGTGCTTGGGGTTGTTTGTTTGCGCTTGTGTGTGTTGTTTTTTGTTTGTGTGCTTGGCTGTGTGTGTTGTTTGTTTGCGTGCTTTGGTGTGCGTGCGTTGTGTTTTGTTTGTTTTTGTCTATGTTTGGCTATGTGCTTGTTTGGTTGTGTGCATGTGTGTTTAGCATTGCTTATTAGTGTGCTTGGGTGTATGTATGTTGTGCTTGTTTGTTTGTTTATTTGCTTGACTGTGTGTATGTTTGTATGTTGTGTTTGGAAGTGCGTGCTTTGTTGTGTGTGTTATCCATATTTATTGTTTGTGTGCTTGTGTATCCTGGAGTTGTTTGTTTGTGCGCGTGTTTGTGTGAGCTAATTTGTGTTGCGAACGTGTGTTTCTTTGTGCGCACTTGTATGTGTTTATGTATGTCTGTATATGCGTTTGTTTGCTTGCGTTTGCGTGTGTTTGTACGTGTGTATGTGGTCGTCCTTCTATGTCTTTTTGTGTTTGTTTCTCTCTCCCCTTCCTTCTATCTCCCTTTCTCTATTTCTTTGTTTGTAGTCGGCCTCCTGTGTCTTTGCGTGTTTGTTTGTCTTTCTCTTTCCTTCTTTCTCTCATTTTCTCTTTCTTTGTTTGTTAGGCACACACTTCGCAACGAAGGAGAAAAGGCTATTGATCTACTAAGATCGCGAAAAGGAACAAAGGAAAAAAAATCAAAATATGAAAAAAATAAAGATATGCAAACAATAAATATGAAAAAAAGATATGAAGGCATTTAACAATAAATAGCAAGTAGTAATGAAAATAATTTTACGATGTACATAAGAAATGAGAAATAAAAGATATTGAGAATAAAGATAATTCATGAAGGAAGAAAAGAAGATGTGAAGGCATTTAACAATGAAAATAGTAAGAAGTAAGAAGTTTACAAGGAAATTAGATACGAATAAGAATTAAGAAAAGAAGAAAAAAATTTTATTAGATACGAATACAATTAAGTAAAGAAAGAAAAGCAGTTCACAAGGAATATTAGATACGAATAAGAATTAAAGAAAAGAAGAAAACGAAAACGATTCACAGGTAAAGTAAAATACAAAAAATTATGAAAACTTGAAGGCTGTTCATAATGAAAATAAAATAGATCTAAATAATGAAGAAAATATGAGAACTTTTCACAATGAAAGTCATATGAAAAGAAGCAATAAAGATGAAATTTTGAAAAAAGTTCACAAGAAGGAAAACAGAGAAAATTAGATAGGACGAAGGTAAGATAAACAAGAATATTGAAAATGAAAATAAAGTTTTGAAAATAAGATAAAGAGAAATGGAAAAAAATGAAAACTCAATAAATATAGGATGAACAAAAAAAAGAAAGAAAAGTATATGCATTTCTGATTGAAAATGCAATGAACATTATATATAAAAGAAACCATAGAAAATAAAACAAGATAATTACTGATAATAGGTAGATGAAGGAGATAAAACGGAAAAATGCAATAAATACATAGAAAATAATTCGGATTTCGAATGAAATCAAATAGCAATAAAAACAAAATAAAAGAATTAATAAAAAGAAACCAAATGCACAGCGAAAACGTAATTGGTAGAAAATAAAACAAGATAATTACTGATAATAGGTAGATGAAGGGGATAAAAACGGAAAAAATACAAACTAAAATATATAAAAAATAATTCAGATTGCGACATGAAATCAAATAACAATAAAAACCAAATAAAAAGAACTAATAAAAATGAAACCAAATGCGCAGCAAAAACGAAATAGAAAGAAGGACCAAAAACGAAAATACGAAGGCAATTCACTTAAAAAAGAAAGAAAGAAAGAAAGAAAGAGAGAAAGAAAGAAAGAAAAAAGAAGAAAAAAGAAGAAAGAGAAAGAAAGAAAGAAAGAAAAAAAAGATACGCAGCCCAGAAAGTCGCGGAGGCAGAGGGGGCGGAGCCAGAGAGACCGAGCACAACCCGTTTTCAAAAGACCCAAAGGAATCAATTTCCTCATCGCTCTCTCTCTCTCTCTCTTACTCCTCGTCTTTCCTCTCTTTATTTTTAAAAATCATTAACCTTCTTTCTCTCTTTCTTTCTAGTTTTTTTCCCCTCCTCTTCTCTCCTTCCCTCCTTCCTATGCTATTTCCTCTTGTCTACTTTTGCGCTCTCTCATTTCCAGGCGCGGGAGCGGTGATGGCGGAAGATTTCTTTTCATAAATTTGATTATTTATTTCATTATTTGTTTATTATTTGGTCTATTCATTCATCTATCTTTCCAGGGATATTTTCGGTTATGATGTAAGTTATTCATAAATCTATTTACTTGTTTATATATCTATCTATGGCGGAATAATTTCATTCATTCACTTTTTCTTTTTTTTCTGTGTAAGACCTCAGTGCTTCGGTATTTAGTGTAGCGGAATATTGATCTTCGTCGCACGCACGCACGCACGCACGCACGCACGCGCACGCACGCACGCACGCACGCACGCACGCACGCACGCACGCACGCACGCACGCACGCACGCACGCACGCACGCACGCACGCGCACGCACGCACGCACGCACGCACGCACGCACGCACGCACGCACGCACGCACGCACGCACGCATATAAAGAGAAAAAGAAGAGGACGTAGATGTAGTAGCGGAAGAAGAAAAAAGAAAGGAAGAGAAAATAACAAGAGAAGCGAAAAAGAAAAAAACAAAACAAAGGCGAGTGAGAAGTAGAAGAAGAAATGAGAAAAGAAAGAGAAGGAGAAGAAGAGAAAAAGGTAAAAAAATGATATAAGAAAAGGAGATAGAGATGTCATGGTAACGTGTCATTACTGTTCTTCATTATCGCATCAATGTTGTCTGTTTTGTATGTCTGT